GTCTGCGGCTGCTTGTGCGTTCGCCTCAGCGGGGCCTGCCACTTGAGTTGTCTCCCTGTGAAGCGAGGAGACACTGGCGCGTCCAGAATACCGTAATGCGCTGGCCCCAACTTGATCATATGCGTTGGCCAACTCCCGCTCGACACCGCCCATGAGGGAGCCCATGCACGCAGCGAGCCCCTGCGCGTCGGTAACATCTGCAAACAGCTGGGAGTTCCATTCCTACTGATACCGCGAGCAACCAGGTGGTGCCGTCAGAGGCAACTCCTTGGGCAGGTCGGGGACCCGCGTCCAGATCTTGGCGCCCCGCGCCTTCATCCGCAAGTGAACTGGGCAATGTGGGGGCAAGGTCGAGCCCTCATCGACGTGCACCTGCGCGGCAACTCTGGGCGCCAAATTCATCGACACAGCGAAGTAGTCGAGCGCAGCGCCTGGCGCGGCCTGCCGACGCGTAGGAGTGCCAGGGAAGAAAGGAATGGCAGATGCGGCAGCGGCCCGCCCCATGGTGAATAGGGCAGCGGGCTCATTGTTCCAGCCACCTCCGACGAGCCAATCGTGGCCTTCACTGTTAAGCTTCGCCAGTGCCTGAGCCACTGCCCACAGATAAGCCGCGTTTGCTGGGGCCATGCCACCCGTAGTTTCCAGATGGGCACTGCCGGCAGAAAAACCTCCAGGTACCCCCCCACCCCCAGTGAATATGAGCAAACAGCGACCTTCCTGGAACTACCTCCGTCTCAGACAGATCTGGAGCCGAGGTCGTGATATCAGCACTTGCAAGTATAGCCACGCCTGCAACCGATCTCGTAGCCGATGTCGGGCTAGGCGTAGCGCAGGCCCACGATCCGTTCCAACCAAGGTCTCGCGCCTGGGACTGCACCTGCGGTATCCGTTCTGGTCGTGCGCGGCGCCCCTGCACCAGCAGCACCTTCGCCTGCTCCACTGTGGGTAGGTACTCAAACGAGGATCCATGTGGCGTGACATTGACCGCGATCACTTCACCCTTGGGCTCGTCATGTGTGGGCGAAAAACCTGAGGGGGGGGCAGACTTGAGCCGCCCCCCTGCCGCCCCCCCGCGACATCGGATCCCGCCCGCGCTGCGCGAGGCAGCGGCGCGCTTCCCGCTCCTCGCGCCAACGGCGATCCCCGAACAAGGACCCGGGGCAACGCCGATGGCAGCGCCGACAGTTGTCCTCGCAAGGGGGCCCGCGGCACTCGGAGGGCCCACGGTCCTCGTGAATGTCGCTTCCTTCCTCCGCAGCCACGCCGGACCCCAGAGCAACCGCTGGGCCCTCTGATTCACGTGGCGACGCGGTGCCTAGTAGCCGCGATGGCACACTACGTCTTCGCACTCTAACGCCTTCCAGCATGCGTGGCGACGTGGTGCCTAGCAGCCCTGCTGGCACACTAGGATTTTGCACTCTAAGTCCAGATTCCAGCATGTGAAATTGACCTCCAGCTGGACACTGAACAGCATGTGGCGACCTCTGCGGCTCCGCGGGAGCCGTGAGTGCACCGCTCGACACCGGTGTCCCAGCAGAGGCCGTCATTTCTGTCGTGGTTGCCCCCAGCCCAGGGGGGGGGCGCCCCTGGCCATCTGGGGGGATACTCGTGGACCGCCTCGTAGTAGCTGCCGAGCCCGAAGCCGCAGGGCACGTGGGCAGAGGGGCGTGACTTCCAGGGGCTGAACCCCTGCCCCCTCTGCCCGCAGCGTCTTCGCAAGTTCCAGAACCGCCAGATGTCGAAGCCGAGGCGTAGGAGGTCATGCCCGTGTGCGCGACGAGGAAATCGACATCGCCCGCTTGCTCATGCTCCAGGGCTGGTCTCCGCGGGCGCAGCGGCCGGCGTGCATCGGGCGCGCCGGGGCCGACTGCCAACGGCGGAGCTCCAAGCGTCGGCGTTCCTCGGCGTCTGAACTCGCCATCCTCATAGACCATGCTTCGCGACGCCACTGCGCATGGCGCCAGGCCGCCTTGCAAAGCTCCGGCAAGATGGACTCCAGAGCGCGGCCAGGAAACCAATTCGCCAGCAGCAGCTGGAGGGGATCGTTGCCTCCGCTGGCCAACATCACTGCGAGGAAAGCCTGACGCCACTCCACCCGTTGAGAATTGTCATCGGAGTGCTGTAGAAGATTCTCGAACCAGATAGCTGCCCATTCCCGCAAATCAGCTCTCATGGCGGTGAAATCTCGGGCCGCTACAGAGCGCTCGGGAGGAGGAGGTAGTCCCGTATCAACGGGCGCTTGGTCAAGCTGCGGTGCGCAATCACTGAAAGGAGGCCCTTCGCCCCAGACGCCGGCCCCATCGCTGCGCAGCCCAGAGAAATCATCCAGATCAAACCCAGGGTCAGCGCGCAACTGCTCAACGTCATCGCCGGCCTCGGAGGGCTCGTGATAGCCAGATCCTGCCATGGGTTGTCCAGAAAGTTCAAATGCTATCGTTAGGGCTAGCGCTAGGCCCATCTTGTTCGTAATGGGCAGCTTGAAGGACTCGAGCCGGCGCTTAGCCTGCGCCCTGACCCCCGCCTCGTCGTCGGTAGCCTTGCCCCGGTTGCTGGCGACGAATGCCTCGAGGCCCTCAAGGTCCATATCCTGGGGCACAGGAATGTCGACGGCCGTCGGAGTGGTTGCTGGGCCTGCTGCTGCTGCATAGCCCGCTGCACCTCCAGATGGTCGTCTCTCGCCTTCTCGACAGCCTCGATCCATATGGCTGAACACACTGCACACAGCTAGCAGCCAACTGTTCACCACCACCCAACTGTTGCACATGAGCCTGTAGCTGCTCCAGGCTGGCAGAGAAAGCCTCCAATATTGCTGTGTCGCCAGCTTAGGTGGCACCAACATGCTGCTCAGGTGCGCCTTGCCGAAGGAGCTCCATCTGCTCCAGCTGCAAATGCACCCGCGCCTTTCCTTTGTCATCCAACTGCTGCCGAAGTTCCAAAACCAGCTTTTGCTTCTCGACCAGACGCTTCTCTTCATTGTCAATCGACTGATTGAGCTTTGCACTTTGCTGATCGATTATCTGGAGCTTGTTGCCGATGCCGTCACCTGCGCGCCCAGGGGCTTGGCCGCCATGATCTCCTGGCGTAGCTGCCGAGCCGAAGTCTCCGCGTCAGCATAGCCAGAAACTGTACTGGGCTCAACCCCATTTGACTTCGGCTGCCTGCTCCAGAGCCGCCAATACACCTTCGCAAGCTTCCAATTCCTTCTGCTTGTTCTGCAGCTCGGGTCCGCCAGTCGAATCTGTCTGGGGCTGCAGCTCAGGAGCATCCGCTTCAGAATACTTGGACCTCGGTAGCTGCTGAACCTGCTTGCGGAGCGCAACCAATTCCTTCTCCTTTGCTTCCAGTGCATGCGCAGCGCCAGCACCCATGGCAGGAGGAGCACTCTGACTGGGAACAGGAGGAGGGACATCACACTTATAGACACGACCCTTAGCGCCACCACATAGGAACAACAAACAGCATCTGCATGGTTATGCCACGGCTCGCCCGTCTTCTGATGCATACAGGATCTGCAGACCCATCGCTTGGCCTTGGCCGCCCTCTCCCTGGCGGCGCGGCCAGCAGGCGGTGCCATGGCGGGCGCAGACAGGAAGCGAGAGACGCAATGATCAGGTACTTGCACACTTGGCTACCTGGGGCGGGCCAGGAGCCGGGGGGAAAGCTGTCGGGCGCAAGGCCCTGGCACTGCCGCGGACTGGCGGTATCCACTTGGTTGCCTGCGAATTTCATAGTCTTGAGCCAAAAAGGCTACGAAAAGGAAGAGGACGAGGAGGACGAGGAGGACGAGGAGGAGGAGGAGGAGGAGGAGGAGGAGGAGGAGGAGGAGGAGGAGGGAGGAGGGAGGGAGGAGGAGGCCGAGGACGAGGACGAGGAGGAGGAGGAGGAGGAGGAAGAGGAGGAGGACGAGGAGGAGGAGGTGGAGGAGGAGGAAGGAGGAGGAGGGAGGAGGAGGAGGAGGACGAGCACGAGGACGAAGACTGGGACGAACGAGGACGAGGACGAGGAGGAAGACGAAGAGGAGGAGGAGGAGGAGGAGGAGGAGGAGGAGGAGGAGGAGGAGGAAGAGGAAGAGGAAGCGGAGGAGGAAGAGGAGGAGGAGGAAGAGGAGGAGGAGGAGGAGGAGGGAGGAAGGAGGAAAGAGGAGGAGAGGGAATAGAGGAGAGAGGCCTACAATGATTCGTGTCCACTGAGTGAAGTGCCCCTTTGGAAGACAACCGTTTGAAGATCATGATGCGCGCTAAAGCATCATTCTCAGAATTTCAACGCCACGGGTCAACCTGACTGGTGCGGCTTGATGGTCCTGAATCGTGCCTGAACACCGTTCTTGGGATTTCAACACCGCGAAGCAACGTAACTGTTGCGCCCTGACAACCCAGAATCATTACATCATAACTTTTCGGATCAGATAACAGTGGGAATCCGTGAAACTTGTGCAATCTTCTTAAACGAGTGTGCGCGGCGCTACGGCGAGAGCTACATTTTGAAAACGACCCGCCTTGAACCCGTGAAGGTCTTACAACATCTTACGACGAAGGCGCGCGGCGCCGAGGCGAGAACCGCATTTTGAAAACCACCCGCCATCCATCCGTGAAACTACTGCAGCTTGCCAGCTTCCGGATCATTAGTGGTGAGGCAGTCTCAGGCGGAACGCCCGGCCCGCCCTTCCGACTGCCCCAGGGGTGCGGCAAGGAGGAGCTGTGCATGAGACGCAGGAGTGGAGGAGAGGAGCGGGCGGGGGGAGGAGGAAGAGAAGGAGGGGAGGAGCAGGAGGGAGGAGGAGGAGGAGGAGGAGGAGGAGGAGGAGGAGGAGGAGGTGGAGGAGGTGAGGAGGAGGAGGAGGAGGAGGAGGAGCAGGAGCAGGAGCAGGGGAGGAGGAGGAGGATGAGGAGGGGGAGGAGGGACGCAGGGGGAAGGAGCAGTGGGGCAGCCTGCCCACTGCCCCTTCTGCCAGGCCGCCCGGGAGCCGACGCCTCGGGGTGTGGCCGCGCCGCCCCTCGGAGGAGCCGTCCCCCCACTGCGACAAGGCGCTCGTGTGGAGGCAGCTCGCGCGGCGGCGCTACCAGAAGACGGCCAGGAGGAAGGCGCCCTGGGTCGTCGCGGGGCCGAACCTCGGCAGTGCTGTTCTGTTGTTGTTTCCTTTGTTTTCACGTCTCTCTTGCGTGTGTGTGTGTGTGTGTGTGTGTGTGTGTGTGTGTGTGTGTGTGTGTGTGTGTGTGTGCTGTGTGTGTGTGTGTGTGTGCTGTGTGTGTGCGTGTGCGTGTGCGTGCGTTGTGCGTGTGCGTGTGCGTGTGCGTGTGCGTGTGCGTGTGCGTGCGTGTGCGTGCGTGTGCGTGTGCGTGTGCGTGTGCGTGTGCGTGTGCGTGTGCGTGTGCGTGTGCGTGTGCGTGTGCGTGTGTGTGTGCGTGTGTGTGTGTGTGTGCGTGTGTGCGTGTGTGTGTGTGCGTGTGTGTGTGTGTGTGTCTCTGGTTGTGAGCGCGTTTCAGGTGTGTTTTCGCAGACTCTGGACGCTGGCCGTCGCGCCCGTGCGTTTTGGCCACCGGGCCGCCGTTCTGCTGGGGGCCTCGGGACCGCCGCCGGGGGGCCCCCCGAGGCCCCCCAGCGCCCCGAGGGGCTCGAGGCGGCAGCCCCCCCCCGAGGTCCTCGGCCTCCGGAGGCCCCCGCTGGGCCGCCGGCGCCGTCAAGAGACGGCACAGGGTGAATCGGGGGCCCCCAGACGGTGTGGTGACCACACCGTGCGGTGAGTCGGTGGGGATTCCAAGGGCGCCCTCGAGGGCGCGAAGTTACTCGCGCTTCGCGGTTCGGCTCCGGTTTCTCCTCCTCCTCTTCCTCCTCCTCCCCCTTGGGAGGCGGCGCGAGAGCGCGAAGTTATTCGCACTTCGCGCTTCGCGCAGCGCGAAGCGCGAAGTTGGGAGCCCTTGACACAGGGTGAATCGGGGGCCCCCCAACCGGTGTGGTGACCACACCGTGCGGTGAGTCGGTGGGGATTCGGGGTCACCGCACGGTTTTGGGACTCGGGTCGTTCTCCGAGGACGTCTCGGGCGACTGGGGCATCCGAGGTCCCAAAAGCGTGCGGTGAGGTCTTGGGGGATTTCGAGGTCACGGCACGGTCTGTCACCGCAGCCTTTCAGCCTTTCGGGACTCCGAAGTGACGAGCGGGCTGAAGCACGGATCGAGGGGGCGTGGATTAGCGACGGGTCCCGCTTCCGCGGGAAATCGCGGATCTCCGCCGCCGAGGGGGGCGGCGCCGGCCGCACTTTGGGGAGGGCGCCTCCCCCGATCCAGGGATTTGGCGACCGCGCGGCACAGCCACGGATCGCCAGTCCGTGCCCGCGCGCCCCCGAAAAGGGCGGAGAGCGGGCCCTGGTCACCCCGCGCGCGCTCCACGGCTCGCGGAGCGCCTGCTCGCGCCAGCGTGCGAAGAGCACACGGCCTGTCCTCCTCCTCCTCCTCCTCCTCTCCTCCTTCTCCTCCTCCTCCTCCTCCTCCTCCTCCTCCTCCTCCTCCTCCTCCTCCTCCTCCTCCTCCCCTCTCCTCCTCCTCCTCCTCCATCTCCTCCTCCCCTCCTCCTCCTCCTCCTCCTCCTCCTCCTCCTCCTCCCTCCTCCTCCTCCTCCTCCTCCTCCTCCTCCTCCTCCTCCTCCTCCTCCTCCTCCCTCCTCTCCTTGGGGGCCTGCGCACCCCCCCTGAAGTTCTCCTCCCGCACGCTCGAAGAGCTCTGCGAGCAGCGGAGCGTGCCTGTCCGTCTAGGGGAGGAGGTCCAGACCTCGGGGGGGCCCGCAGCGAGAAGCTCCCGACGTCGGACGGCTGGGTCCACGCAGCCGGGGGCCGGCGCCAGCGGGTTATATCCCCGGGGTCCTGGCGCGGCCACCGCTGCACGCTGGGCGTTTGCTCCCAGCTTGGGGCCCCGCGGGGCCCTCACGGATGGATCCAGCTCGAGAAATGCAGGCGAAAGATGGGGTCTATGAGGTTTTGGTCGTGATTTGTCTCGACGCTTCATGGCGCCAACATCGCAGAGCGGATTTCGTTCGGAAAACATTGGGATGGGCCCGGATTGTCTTGGAGAGTTTCGCTCCGGATTTCGAAGTTCATTTCGCGCGGATTTTGTTCGGTCAGAAATGAAGACAAAGCATCTACGTCAAATTCATTTCGTTTTTCGTTCGCCGTTTCGGGGTTTTGCATTGGCATACATCCACACAATAATCCGCTGCAGCATGTCTGCAAGGTCGCGGCGCAGTGAGACGTTGCATTTTTCCGCAACGTCGGATCTCAGGGAAGGCAGAGGGGGCGGGCGTTCTCAGGAGGCTCAGAATGGAGGGAACGAAAACGGTTATCATGCAAAATGGGATCGGGGGCTCTAGTAGTCATTTTTTGGGAGATGTTTTAACTTTTGCTTCAGCAGGGGCAGCGCTAGGGGGGGATAGGCTAAGGGGGGTACGCATCGACCCCCCTTCGCCCATGCATCGCCGATAGAGGCTCGACAGCCCCGGCCTGCCCAGGACCGCGCGGATTCGCTACCGAGGGCCTGTCGCCAATCTGTCGGCGATGTATCGACGGTTCCAGGTCGATGCTCCCCCCCCCCTGGGCGCGTCCGCCCAGCAGCATCTCTGCTCCTCAGCTCGTAGGGGGCCACGTGCGAACCCTGCCCCCCACCCCCCACGATTTCTGAGGGGGAGGGTGGGGCTCACTTCGCTCGGGAGCTCCCGAGTGGAGTGCACCCCACCCTCCCCTTCAGAAATCGTGGGGGGTGGGGGGCAGGGTTCGCATGTGGCCCCCTACTCGAGCAGCGGGGGCCAGCCCGGGTGCCACGCTCCGCAACCTCCGCTTGGCCCGGGGGTTGCGGGAGCTGCTGAGCCGCTGGCCAGGCTTCGCGATAGGGGCTTGGCCGACCCGGGTTTGGTGCGGACCCGGTGTCTCAGCAGCGTTTCACCGACCCCCATCCCGAGCCCCATTCAGCCTCGTTTCACCGACCCCCCCATCCCCAGCCCCAGCCCCTTCGAGACCCCCATGCAGCTTTGTCCCCTCCCTCCCCCCCCAGTTGGGGGGATGCGCCCCTCGACGCCCGACGGGGACGGCCTGCGTCCCCTATCCAGGGGGGCAGCTCGGCCAGCGGGGTCCCGGCCCAGGCCGCTGGGGACGGGGACCGCTTCAGCGATGCCCGTCGGTGCGTGCCCGAGGTCGCCTGGGGCGCCAGCGCGGGCCCGCCCCCGTCGCCGACCCCGGAGGACAGCCCGATGCCGCGCGCCTGCACCTGGCCCGCGCCCGCGGGCGGCGACGGCGCCGCCTGATGGCTGCGGCTCCCCCTCCTCTCCTCCTCCGCTCCTCCTGATGGCCCCCTCTCCCTCCTCCCTCTCCCGCCCTCGCCTACCCCCCCCTCCTCCCTCCTCCTCCTCCTCTCTCCTCCTCCTCCTCTCTCCTCTCCTCCTCCTCCTCCTCCCACCCTCTCTCTCCCTCCCTCCTCCCTCCTCCTCCTCCGCCTCCTCTCTCCCTCCTCCTCCTCCTCCTCCTCCTCCTCCTCCTCCTCCTCCTCCTCCTCCTCCTCCTCCTCCTCCTCCTCCTCCTCCTCCTCCTCTAGGCCTCCTCGATGGGGTCGGTGTAGATGGGGTCGGAGGATCGCGCCGCATCGCCGATACATCGCCGGTGCATCGCCGATGCCTCGACGACGTGGCCGTGGAGATCATCGGCGATGCATCGGCGATGGGTGATGTGTCGCCGATTCCAGGCCGCCGTCTCCCCTCCCCTGAGCTGGTCCCCCCATTATCGTTGCCCCTCATCCTTCGGGTGTCGCTAGAAGTGCCCCTGGGCCAAGGTGCCCCCAGGATTCTCGGGGTAGCCGAAACGGCCTCCAAAGCTCCAGAATGGAGCGACAAGCTGGGGGCTCCTTGGGCCAGGGGTACTTCTGGCAACACCCGAGCCTTCCCATCCTTCCCCCCACCCTCCCTCCCCTCCCTGCACCCTCCAGCGCCCATCGGGCCGCGGCGCGCTTCGCAGCGAGTTCCAGCGAACTTCGACGCCCCTCGGGGCCCCTCCTGAGCCCATGCCACGCGGCTGGGCTCCCGCCCCCCGCCGGTGGGAGCGCCAAGAGCTCCACCCGGGGGCCAGGCGGAAGCCCGGGGAGCAGGCCCGGGGAGGCCCGCTGGACGCGGGGGGCGGCGGGGAGAAGGGCGCGCTCCAAGGGGGAGGTGCTGTCGGGGGGAGCCGGGGGCTTCTCCTCCTCCTCCTCCTCCTCCTCCTCCTCCGCCTCCGCCTCCTCCTCCTCCTCCTCCTCGGGAGGAGAGGCGTGGCAGTGCTGTGGGCCGTGGGGTCCGTGTCTTCGGAGGCCTGCTGGACACGGGGGGCGGCGGGGTGAAGGGCGTGCTCCAAGGGGGAGGTGCTGTCGGGGGGAGCCGGGGGCTTCTCCTCCTCTTCCTCCTCCTCCTCCTCCTCCTCCTCCTCCTCCTCCTCCTCCGCCTCCTCCTCCTCCTCCTCGGGAGGAGAGGCGTGGCAGTGCTGTGGGCCGTGGGGTCCGTGTCTTCGGAGGCCTGCTGGACACGGGGGACGGCGGGGTGAAGGGCGTGCTCCAAGGGGGAGGTGCTGTCTGGGGGGGAGCCGGGGGCCTCTCCTCCTCCTCCTCCTCCTCCTCCTCCTCCTCCTCCTCCTCCTCCTCCTCCTCCTCCTCCTCCTCCTCGGGAGGTGCTGTCTGGGGGGAAGCCGGGGGCTCAAGCAGTGGCGAAGCGTCCCGGCGTGCCTATAGGCCTACCAGACAATGTCCTGAGAACCTTCTGTGGTTTCCACGACATGTGCTTGGAACATTCCTGGCTGGGGCTGTCTTGTTCTATAGCACATCGGGAATCTGTTCTAGGAGCATTGGTTGTGCTCTTAGAACATTTTGGGGTTCTAAGGTAGGCCTGTAGGAATGCTGGGACGGTCGGTCCCTGCTCAAGGGGCGGGAGGAGAGGCGTGGCAGTTCTGTGGAGCGCGTGTCTTCGGAGGAGACGCTGCGTAGGCATCAGCAGTCGGAGCTCCGCGCGGATCTCCCGGGTCGGCACCTGGACGCCCCTGGCGGCGCCTCCCGCGCCGCCCCTTGCGCGCTCCGCGACGGTCCGAGAAGTCCGCGCGGATCTCCGAGAGCTTGCTCCCCAAACAGTGCTCTCGTTCGGGGGCCCCTGCTTCCGGAAGGAGGAAACTTGGAAGGGGGGGGGTGCAAGTCTAACGGTCCGGCCCGTCTCGCCTGAGACATCCTCGCAACTCTGAGCTCTGAGATGCCGTGCGCAAGGTGGTCCGGCCTGTTTCGCACAAGACATTCTCGCAACTCTGAGCTCCCAGATGCCGCGCAAGAAGTGGTCCAGCCTGGGGGCCCAGAAGACCACATGTTACATATCCTCCCTGGGACCCTGGGAGTGTCACCGCCCAGTCGCCGCCTTGTCGCCGCCCGTCGTCTGAGCCTGGTTCTCAGTCTGGCAGCCCTGTTGTCGCCGTCGCCGACCCTCCGCCCGTCGTCCGGGCCCGACGGTTGGTCTGGCCGCCGTGTTGTCGGCGTCGTGCTCGCCGTCGCCGCCCAGTCTCCGCCTCGTCGCCGCCCGTCGTCTGGGCCTGATGAGAATTTGACGGCTCAACGGTGGCTGTGTATATGCACAGGCTGGGGGTGCTGTGGCTGGATGGGCTCTACGAGGCCCGCCGCGGGGGGAGTAAATATGCTCCTCTCCGCCTCATCTTAATACTGCTTATCATACTGCTCGCCTCGCAGCGCACTGTCTGACTATTACTGCGGTGCCATCCCGCCTGGTCGGTCTGGCGGTTCCGTGCTCGCCGTCGCCGCCCCGTCGCCGCTTAGATACTGCACCGCGCAGATTATTTTTTCTAGAGAGAGAAGAGACTCTACCCCCCCCGGCGCTATCCCCCCCCATTTCGGGTATGTTAATCATGTATGATTCTGACCACACGTCCATCCTCAATATGAGTTTACACTATCCCAGAGGGGGCCGGTATCGCTCCCCTGAGGTTCCCTTGTAAAAAATATTCTATGCGGGGACATTTTTTGCTCTAGCATAAGATTTTGTCACGAATCCCTTACAACAGCTGAGACGAAGTGCGCACGCGCGCGTCGTCGCGCGCGCATGCCGAAACCTTTCAAAAACCTTCGGTGTCGGACGGATTTCGCAATCGAGCTTCCAGAAAACATACCAACATACAGGGTTTCGCAACAGTGATTTGCTAAAAAAGCTTCCGCGCGAGCTCTTGCGAAATCTTAAGAACATCTGAAGTTTTTCACGATTTTCACAGACTGCTACCAAATTGCCTTCGCGCGCGCATGTCGAAATCAGTCGAACGCCCTTGCGCGTGTGCCGTCGCGAGAACCCTCTGCAAAAAATGGGACGAAGTGCAGACGCGCGCGTCGTCGCGCGCGTATGCCGAAATCCGTCAAAACCCATCGGCTTCGGAAGGATTTCAAAATCGTGTGTCCAAGAAACCTTCAAAGACACAAGGTTTCGAAACACGGATTTTCAACAAAAGCGTGCGCGCGCGCTCTTGCGTCGTCGTCGTCGTCGCCGTCCTCCCTCCTCCCGCGTCGTCGTCGTCGTCGTCGCCTACGTCGTCCTCTGTCTTTCCTCGTGTTCGTCGTCGTCGTCCTCTTTGGCGTCGTGGTCGTTTCCGTCGTCGTTGTCGCCGTGGTCGTCCTTCTTCCTCCATCGTCGTCGTCGTCGTCGTCCGTCGTCGGCGTCTCGTCGTCGTCCCTCCTATTTCGTCGCCGTCGTCGTCGTCGTCGTCGTCGTCGTCGTCGTCCGTCGTCCCTCCCCTCGTCGTTGTCGTCGTCGGCGTCGCCGTCCTTCCTCCTTCTTCGTCGTTCGCGTCGTCGCCGTCCTCCCTCCTCCCTCGTCGTTGTCGTCGTTGTCGTCGTTGTCGCCGTCGTCGTCCTCCCTCCTCCTTCGTCGTCGTCTTCGTTGGCGACGTCGTCGTCGTCTTCGTCGTCGTAGTCGGCGTCGGCGTTGTCGTCGTCTTCGTCGTCGTCGACGTCGGCGTCGTCGTCGTCGTCGCCGTCGTCGTCGTCGTCGGCGTCGTTGACGTCGTCGTCGTCGTCGTCGGTTGTCGTCGTCGGCGTGTCGTCGTCGCGTCGTCGCCGTCCTCCCTCCTCTCGTCTCGTCTGTCGTCGTTCGCGTCGTCGCCGTCCTCCCTCCTCCCTCGTCGTTGTCGTCGTTGTCGTCGTTGTCGTGCCGTCGTCGTCCTCCCTCCTCCTTCGTCGTCGTCTTCGTTGGCGACGTCGTCGTCGTCTTCGTCGTCGTCGTCGGCGTCGGCGTTCGTCGTCTTCGTCGTCGTCGACGTCGGCGTCGTCGTCGTCGTCGCCGTCGTCGTCGTCGTCGGCGTCGTTGACGTCGTCGTCGTCGTCGTCGTCGGTGTCGTCGTTATCGTCTGCGTCGGCGGCGTCGTCGTCGTCGTCGTTGCCATCGTTGTCGTCGGCGTCGTCGTCGTCGGTGTCGTCGTCGTCGTCGTCGTTGTCGGCGCCGTCGAAGTCGTTGGAGACGTCGCCGGTGTCGTCGTAGTCGTTGTCGGCGGCGTCGTCGTCGTCGTTGTCGCTGTCGTCGTCGGCGTCGCTGTCGTTGCCAAGTGCAATTTGATACCCACCGTCATGGTCTTAATATATGTTGCAAACCAAGTCGCGGGTGGGTGAGTGGGATGTTTGCGCGAGTCGTGGGGTTGACAACTCACTGCGAACAGAAATTCATTGCACAACATAGTTTGTACCGATGTGCACACGCGCGCTCCGTCGCGCGCGCATGCCGGAATCCTCAACACAAGCCGTAGGTTTCGCAGAGATTTCATAATCGAATGTCAGAAAAAGCACGTAAGCAAACACATGGCTTCGCAACGAGTTGTTTGACAACAAATTGCGCTCGCGCTCTTGCGATTTCTTTAATACTGGAACCATTGGTGTTTTCCCCATATCTCATATCACGCTGCCGAGCGGCTTTCGCGCGCGCATGTCGAAGTCGTTCGAACGCTCTTGCGCGCGTGCTGTCGCAATAACCACATCTGCACAACATGGGACGAACTGCGCACGCGCGCGTGGTCGCGCGCGCACGCCGAAATCCTTCAATAGCCGTAGCTGCCGCCAGGATATCAAAGAAGAGTGTCCAACCAACATATATACATCACATGGTCTCGCAACCACGATTGTCAAGAAATGCTTGCGGTCGCGCTCTTGCGAATTCTTAAGAAGGTTATAGGTTTTCAATATTTGCACAGCATGCTACCAAACGGGCCTCGTGCGCGCGCATGTCGACATCGTTCGAACGCACTTGCGCGCGTGCTG